CTAATTTATTCGCCCGTTATGTGCTTTTAAGTACTCCATTGTTCCAAATTACTTATCCATTTTTTTTTAGTTGTCCCTAATTACTTGTCCATTTTGACAAATCAAGAAATGACAATTTTTTTGCCTATTATACTCTCAATTAATTGCATTGAAAAATATAGAACTTTTTGAAAATTCCAAGTTTTTAATTCATCCCTCATAATTATTTTTTTGGTAACAACTGTAAAATATTACTATAACCACCAAAGAACATATACAAATAAAAGAGCACCTATTTCTGAAACAGAGAATAGGCCTCTAACAAAACAAAATACCTAGTTGCATAACAAATGCTGAATAAAGTGTCTACATTTATTTGCTCTCTTAGAACTACTAAGTAAGTGTAATCTTTCACTGATTTCCTTCTTTATCTGTGTTACTGCCTCTTCCGTATGTACACGTATGTCTCTAAATCTCCTCCAATTCCTAGCACGCCAAGTGTGGTATATGATTGCTCCGCAGATAGCTGCCATGATCTCTTTTTTGAATTGCTTCCAACGATTCCCTTTTATGTTTTCCAGGACCTGTACAATACCAATATTATGCACTGGTACTTCTGTCCATTGGTGCATAGCTTGCCACACAGTTGATGTCCATTTGCAATCTTCAAAGAGATGAACATTAGTCTCCATTACTTTTTTCTCACATAAACAACATGCAGTATCCTCCACATGAATCTGCAGTCTCAACTTTCTTTCCTGTGTGAGTAATCTTCCTTGAACTGCTAACCATGTCATGAATCTATGCTTTGGTATAGCCATTGATGTCCAGACTAGTTCAGCAATATTCCATCTAGGCTTAGTACCCATGAGTGCTTGATCCCTCATAATTGATAGAGGTAAAATGATAAATTTACTATGTCACTTAATATGTGTGTCAATTCAAAAGTGAACCAGTAATTAGGAACATAGGAAGTAACTTCTTACACAAATGAGAAGTTGAACAATTCTTCTTTAATGGGTCAATTTTATTTTTTCACCTATTATGAGCATATGTAATGTAACTTACACATATTTTTTGCCTCTAAAAACTTCATTCATAACAATATGAATTACCTCAATTATTACTGCTAATTACTCTCTCTTTTCCTAATTACTTGTCCACTTTTGAATTGACACACCTATTAAGAAAATAATTATTGATATAGTGAGTTTACAAACTTAAGATTTTCAAGAAGTTCTACATTTTTCAAAGTAATTAATTGAGGGTATAATAGATAAAAAAAAAATTGTCCTTTCTTGATTTGTCAAAGTGGACAAGTAATTAGGGACAACTATAAAAAAAAAAGTGGACAAGTAATTAGGGACAGAATGAAGTATTTTATTTTTTCTTCTTCTCACCTATTAATTGTTTTTCACAACCTTCCACATTCCTTGTTATTTTCACAATATTTGATTTATCTTCATTAAATGATTTATCGTAAATACTTCTGCACATGCACATTTTTTGAAAGTGTAACAATTGTTTGGGAAACTGAAAAGTTAGTCCAACTAAACTGACTTGATATATTTATTGTTTACTATTAATGTAAACTCATGGAAAAAAAAACTCACATATATGGATTTGTGAAGGGTTATTAATCCAAAACTCAACGTGTAGTAATTCATATTTTAAGGTGGAGTGATTTGGATAGCAGAACAAGAAATTGTTGTACTAGTAAGAATTTTGAGTTTTTGACTAACTCAATTATTTCTAATTTTTTATTTTTATCTTCTTTTTTTATTGTGAAGAACATATGAATTGTTACCAAGTATGTAGGTCATTGTTTTTATCTTTATATTTTCATTGCAAGTATACTTTCATATGTCAAAATGAAATTTCTATCAATTATAAAACTTTGTTCTATCAGAAAGTACATTTATCATTATTTCTAATGATCTTATATAACTTAGTATGGGATACACATGCAACGCACGTGTCCAGAACTAGAATTATAAAAAGTAGGAAGCTTTAAAATGCAAAATTGAATTACCATTTTTTTCCTACACTAAATTATAATATTAAAAATCATTTAATTAATCATTAAATAATAAATCATATATCATATTACAAGTGGAAAGACCCTAAATGAAAAGTTACATTACAATCAATCATACTATAATATTTTTGCATTTTTTTCACCATTTTTATAAATATTTACTGCCTTAATAAAATTCTCACACCATAAATGTTGAAGTAAATTCCACGTAGCAATACAAAAGGCCAAATAACCACTTAATAGCACATATAATACTTAATTAAATTGGTTTGCATTTAAACACAATTAAGATTTTTTTTTCTTTTGCATTATCTTTTTCAGTGGACAAGGAAGCATTTACGTGTAAATTATTATAGTTAGACAAATATATCTCAAATCTTATATAAAAAAACACATTTTAAAGAAATATTGTATTCTTTTACATCATAGAGTAACATGTATGCATGTTTAATATAAAGTAACTACTATAAATAGTATCAAAACTAACTTAATTTATATTTCAACTCTGCAAATATTAAATCCATTTTGGATGCAAGCGTAAGGAGATTAAAATATAAGATTCATTATCTTTAGAAATTTATATTTTTTAATATACTTTAATATCTATTTTTATCATCTAACATATCAATTGAAATTGTATAGAAGATTTTTATACCAACTAATAGAAATATACGTGCAACACACGTAATCAAAACTAGTATGTAAAAAAGACTCAGAAAGTTATCAGTTTCTATGCTATCTACCACTTTGTGTATTGAAGTGACAACCTTAATGGATAAATCCTATGTAAACTACATGTATGCTAAACACATCCGAAATTTTGAGCTGAAAGTTTATCAGAAACAACCTCCCTATCTCATAAAGGTGGGGTAAAGCCTACCTACATTCTATCCTTTACAAGACGCTATTTGTGAGATTGCATCAAATTTAACGGAGAGTTTTTGTCATGAGAACAGAAAGTGGTAACAACTTTTCTCATTTGGTCACGAACATCAAATATGCTATACACAAGAATATTTTTGAAATAAATAATTATAAACTTGTTGATGAAAATTGAAAGGCTTCAACACATGATTCATTAACCTCATGAAAGTGCTAGGGGCATTGGTTAGGCCAAAAGGCATAACAAGCCACTCATATAGACCAAAATTTGGTCTAAGAATCACACAAGTAAAAAATTGACAAAGCAAGTATATCCGAATGCAAAGTCAAAATAAAGAAATTTAATGCTCTAAATTCAAATTATGTCATATAAATTGGGATAAAGGAATTAATACTTATCAAAGTTTCAGTAAGTATGTCTCGGTCCCAAATAAGTCGGTGTTTGGTTATATTTAGGGGTGTTCATGGTTCGATTTGGATAAGTTATTAGTTAAAATTAAAACCAAACCAATTAATATCGGTTTTTAAATTTCTAAAACCAAACCAAATAAAAAAAATAACTGTCGGTTTGGTTAGGTTTTTTCGGTTCGAAAGTAATAAGTTTGTTGAGGACATACGCATCTCAATAGACACAAACACTTAGTACATGAATAATTCACAAATAAGCTATTACACGAACAAAGTGATTCATCCAATGTACCAAGTTTCAGAAACTAAAAAAATTCATTGTCAATAGCATAATATTGGTTCAATATTCTGGAGATCTCAACATCTCATCAATATTGAGAAATTACTTCTCAAAAAAAAAAAAAAAAACAACCAATATTTCATAGTCAAAACTAATCAATTACAATCTTCTTTAGCTTGAGCTTTAAATTATTCAATGTTGTGTTAGAAAATTTTATAAAGAATAGAGAAAGTGTGATCTTTAAAGTAATGAATATTGAGAGATTTAGACTTGAGGTTTTAATAGTTTGGCTAAAATTTAAATGTTGGGCTTCAGAAAATAGTAAAATTAAAGACTTAAGTTAATTAAAATTTATCAAAATACTTATATTTTATTTATAAAATTTATATATATAACTTTTCGGTTCGATTTGGTTATTTTTGCGGTTAATTTTTAGTTAAACCAAAACCAAACCAAACCAAATAATATCAATTTTTTTTAAGGGAAACTTCTATATAATTGCAAACTATTAATTCAAATTAAATGTTATAAACATAATTTGATTTAATTGTACCCTATAACAAACTATTGCTATTTTTGCCTCTCTCCCTGGTGGAATCTCGCTCATCACTCTCGTTTTGGTGGTAGTCTCGCTCGCCTCTCTTGCTTTTATATAAACACAAATGTATAAAATATGTTTGTGTTTGTATAAAGTGAGAGAAAATTGTATATATACATATGTTTTCGTTCCTTTCTCTCCCCTCTCCCAGATCTCGCTCGCCACTCTGACTCGCCTCTCTCATTTTATACAAACACAAATGTATACATTGCGTTTGTGTTTGTATAAAGCGAGAGAAAATTGTATATACAAATGCAAATGCATATATTTTCGTCCTATACACTTATTATACAAATACAATCTTCCCCTACCCAGTTTTCTTTTGTCTTTCTGTCTTTCTCGCTTTATACAACTACAGATTATACAATTGATATTTTGTATATGTATACCAAAACAGATTATACAATTGTTTTCTTTTGTATATGTATAGTGAATTATACAATTGCTTTCTTTGTATATGCATATCGAATTATACAACTACTTTCTTTGTATATGTATAGCGAATTATACATATTTATGTTTGCTATGAAGCGCAATTATGCAAACTATAGCTATAACATACAAATATGATTTTTATATTTGCTATATGTAAAAGTTGCTCTTTTTTTAATCAGTTTGATTCGAATAGCAATTTGGCTTGATTTTATAACCATAACCATGAACAATCCTAGTTATATTGTTATCAATTAAAATTATTGAAAATTTTGATACAAAAGAAATGTCAAACATTTTGAATTTTGAATAAGTTGGGTAGTATAAATACAGAAATAGATGAAGTTCCCAAATTTTTTCCAAATGTAAAGCAAGTTCAAAAGGAAAAATTGAGCATAAGAGTTCACTTGCTAAGGCTTCGAGGATGGTACGCGTACACGTGAAGCACGGCGACGGCGGTAGCGACGGCGCCGGAGAGTTTCTCTACGATACTGAAACGACTTCAAAAATTGATGAAATCGCCAAAGACATTATCGAAATTGCGAATTTTCAATCGAAGATTCAATGCTTCGCCGTCGAATTCGAGCCTCATCTCTCTAAGCTTCAAGGCGATCCTAAAGGTATTTACAATCAAAATTTCTAGTAATGTCGAATAATGATTTATTAGTCAAAGTTGTTTATAGCTTTTGCTTCGGAAAATTAACTGTTGAAATTCGAGCTTTATGTCTAAGCTTCGAGGCAATCTTAGAGTTTTTTACCATCAAAATGCTAGTAATGTCGAAATAACCATGATTAGTTGGAGTAGTTATAGCTTTCGATTGGGAATTTGAGGGTTGAAATTTGAGCTCTACCTCTCTATGCTTCAAGGCGATCCTAAAGGTACAATCAAAATTTCTAGTGATGTCGAAACAATGATTTATTAGTCGAAGTTGTTTATAGCTTTTGCTTCGGAAAATTAACGATTGAAATTCGAGCTTTATCTCTAAGCTTCAAGGCAATCTTAGAGGTTTTTACAATCAAAATGCTAGTAATGTCGAAATAACCATTGATTAGTTGGAGTAGTTGTAGTTTTCGATTGGGAATTTAAGGGTTGAAATTTGAGCTCTACCTCTCTAAGCTTCAAGGGGATCCTAGATGTATTTCCAATCAAATGCTAGTAATTTCGAAATAATATTGATTAGTTGAAGTAGTTATAGCCTGCGATTGAAAAATCGAAGGTTGAAATTCGAGCTTTATCTCTCTAAGCTTCAAGGCTATCCTAGAGGGTTTTACAATTAAAATGCTAGTAATATCAAAATAATCATTGATTAGTTGAAGTTGTTATAGCTTTTGATCGGGAAATTAACAGCTGAAATTTGAATCTTCTCTCTAAGCTTCAAGTCGATCCTAAAGGTATTTACAATCAAAATGCTAGTGTTGTCGAAATAATCATTGATTAGTTGAAGTATTTATAGCTTTCGATCAGTAAATTGAAGGTTGAAATTCAAGCCTTATCTCTTTAAGCTTCAAGTCGATCCTGAAGGTTTTTACAATCATAAATGCTATTAGTGTCATATATACTCATGATTATCAGTTGAACTTGTTAGTATTACTTTTGCTTAACTGTTAAAATTGCCAATGCAGCTATGCCTCTCGTGAGAGCTCTCTCTGAAGCTACGTCATACGCTTCAAAGGTCTGTTTCTGCATGCTTTGTCATTTGCTGAAATGATATTTATGTAATCAGGATAGTAATATCATGATGTTTTTTTAGTTTGAGCAAATTATAGATTTAGGTGAGCAAATACTGACGATGTTATTGTGGATGACATATTTGTTACCCCTCTGCACTATTCATATGTATGTTTAAAAATGTAAGACACCACATAATTGTCGTTTATAATGTGCTGTGTTCGGCCAGCTTACACACGCTGAATAAAAAACTGAGTACTGGCCAACATGCATATGCAGAGTGATTCTTTCCGCCAAGGCTTGGATTCCATTAATTATATTTTCATAAATCGTTCACCATTTCCAAGCACCTTAGGTTGTAGCCTAGTGGTCAATGTAGTGGGTTGAGAATCATGAGGTCTCAAGTTCAAATTCCAACAGAGACAAAAAACACTGGGTGATTTCTTTGCATGTGTCATAGTATTTCGAAACAAAGGTTTAAATCCCAGCAAAGAATTAACATCGTTGACTATGCATCTAGTCACACACTATCATAATATGAAACAAAGGGAGTTTGTGCAAGGAGATGAGTTTATTCCTCCTCTTAGCATATCCTATAGTTTATTTCTTTGTTGCTTGGACTCTTCAAAAATGTCAACGGGTGCGTGTCGGATTTTCCAAAGATAGTGTATTTTTGGAGATTCCGACACGGGCATGGCATCAAAAGTGAAGAGTCCGCGCAACTTAGGTTTATTTCTTTACATACAAAGCAGAGATTGATGTAAGGAAACAACTAATAAATGAAGCAGAAAGTCTAGATGGCTGATCATCTTTAACAATGCAACAAATATTTAACTAGTTTTGTGCTCGACACTGTCTTAAGGATAAGAAACATGTAAAGGTTTTGAAGATTTTAATTTAGTCTTGCAAAAGATGTTTTTGCATCCTTGCATTTGGTGGTTCAAATGATGTATGATAGGTTCCTTTGATCTCTGTCCGTTGAAATGGATTACAGGATCAGGTTAAACATAACAAGCCTCTATCACTTTATGTGCTACGAGATCACACAAGAAGCATTGAGAAGGAATTTTTGGTAACGTATTCAGTAATGGGATTGTCAAATTCGGATTTACAGCAGTTCTTGTCAGGTATGTTCATAATCACTTATGTCAGCTTCCTGTCTCTTATATGCTTTCGTTCAATATATAGAAGTTCAGGACAAACATTCATGTTTGATATTTTATGAGTATATAGTAACAGCGACCTTATTTCAAGTTCCATAATTACATGTTATTGTTGGTAAGGAGACATAATCATTTGAGGCTGCAGATACGCTTTTAACAACAAATTCAGAAAGAGATGCAGTTGCTTGTTTATTTTCCTATGACAAAATCAGTTTGAGGACAAGCTTCTAGATACTTACCCTTTTCCTCCAAAAATTAAAACACATTAAAGATTCTGAACCACTTGATTGTTTGATCTCTGGGCAAATGAAAGTGAAGCCATTTAAAGTGAACAAGTGAATATTGCAATTCTTTATTATGGTTTCCACTTGATATTTGGCCTGCAAGCTTTTTAAAGTGAAACTCAAAACAATCAGCAATCATGGATGAATATATGATTCTACAGACTTGCAAATCCTTGAAGAAAACACAGTGCAACTTTTATGGGCAGGAAAAGAGCTCACCAGAGGGAAAAAATTGCGTGACTTTATAGGAAGAAATGAGAAGACAAAGGTACAGTTTTTTTTTTCTCCACTTTACAAGAATATATCAGTACACTTAACACTCTACCGGCTGGTGGCAGATTGTAATCAGGCTGCAGTCACCTATTCCACCTCCTGCATCACTTTCTGGTACTTTCTTTTCCTTATTAGAATGATTTTTTTTTTTTTGGGCATAATGCATATACAGACACTCAAACTTGACATCAACTGGAAAGTAAGTATGCCAACTTTGAGCATGCACATCTAGATACGTCAACTCGTCTTCACCAATTGAACATTTAATGATCATCTAGACACCTCCAAAACATGTTAGCGTTGGGTGTCCACGAGACACGGCGGGGACGAGTTGGATTGTTTAGTTGTCAGTTGAGACCAAGTTGAAGTGTCTAGATGTGCATTAAGTGCTTACTTTCCCGTTGAGGCCAAGTTTGAGTGTCTATTTATGTATTATGCCTTTTTTTGATGTTTTTGTTTTCTGCACCTTTTTTTGCCACCCATAAAAAGAAAACTTCATAGTTATTATTTTATTTTGAAGGTGGAGAAAAATCTTGAAATAAAATGATGTCGTCTGGTCTTTGAATGACTTTTAAATCGGGAAACACACTCCTCTTGAATGACCTTTGCATTCTTTCCTGTGTGAGCTGCAAAGGTTTGTGACTTATTGGGATTCAACTGCCTGCTAGTTGACTGCATATTACTGCACAACAACAACATACCCAGTATAATCCCAAAAAGTAGGGTTTGGAGAGGGTAGAATGTACGCAAACCTTACCCTACTGCATATTACTGTTGAACGAAAACTATTTATGTACCCCTTACATCTCAACTGCAACCAGTATCCCAAGGATTCTAAAGCTTAATACGCTACAAGTCAAACTTGGTGAATCCACTCACTAAATCATCTATGTAAATTTGTACCCGAATGCATATTGCTTTTGGAGTTTCTTCTTCCAAAAGGTGTTTTATTTCGACTAGTCATGTCTGATTCCTTATCTTTATACTGTTGTAGTTTATGCTCATCATCTTGCCTAGTTTGATGTACATATTATGAAAAGTGCAATGCACATGATTTGAGCTTGTAGGTCTTCTTTCAAATGTTTTGGATTGAGTCGTAGTAGTTGTAGTTGTTCTTTTGATTCATCTAATGGTCCTACTTCTGGGACAAACAAGGAATAATATAAATGTGTAGACCAATAAATTGTACTAATGCTTGATGAACTATAGAGGACCGACATGAGTGAAATAATATCATAGCAATGCTTTGATATTCCCCGGAGACATGAACCAAAAATAATGTTTTGATTTTTCACTAAAATACCTTAACGAGCACCTAAAGATGTGGCCTAGTAGTCAATGAAGTGGGTTGAGAACCATGAAGTCTCAGGTTCAAATCTCAGCAGAGATAAAAATACTAGGTGATTTCTCCCCATTTGCTTTGGTGGACTAAGTTACTTGGTACCTGGTGTTGCTGGGAGGTAACAGGTATCCTGAGGAATTAGTCAAGTGGGAGAGTTGGCCCGGACATTACAATTTTATTTTTTTTAAAAAACCTTAATGGCCGGAAGAGGTGGTTGTATCCATATTGAATATTGAGTTCAATTATATAACAAACCTATCCCATTTTTTGAGTTCACAATTAAGAAAATAGATTTTGCTTCAATCTCAAACTAGTGGAGGCCAGCTATATAATAATCCTATATATTCATTGTCTGATTTAGGTCCATTCCAACATTATTCAGAGAACTCCTCATAAAAAGGCAGCTCGGTGCACTAAACTCCTGCTATACGTGGGCCAACCCATAAGGGTCTATTGTACGCAACCTTGCCCTGGATTTCTGTCAGAGACTGTTTTCACAGCTTGAACCCATGACCTGATCATATGACAACAATTTTATCTGTTACAGTTACGACAACCTACCGTCGTCCTCTTTAATTTGTGGTCGGAGTTAGTTGAAAAAACACTCACACACATGAGGTGTATACACTAGCTGATGCTGTCCCCTAAATGCATCTTTATGACTAGCAATAGTCAATTAAAATAGTCTCACTTCGACTTATTGCTTAATTCTGGTAAATTAATGTAGTTTAGTTTTTTTTGTTTTTTTTATTTTTTTTATGTAGTTTAGTATAAGTACTCGGTGTGGGTGATTTTTTCCAGAATTAGTTATGCTTTATAAGTTCTTACTTAGGTAAAAACTCTTTACTCCCGCTATTTCTTTTTTCAACCTGCTTTGAAATGTTTTTTCTGAGCCGAGGGTCTATCTTAAACCTCTCTATATCTTTCAAGGTAGGGGTAAGGTTCGCGTAACCCTCCCCAAACCCCACTTGTGGGAATTCACTGGGTATGTCATTGTTGTTGTTGTACTTAGGGAGAAAGCTTTAATACTCCAAAAATGTTGCCTCACTCGTGTCTCCATAAATGCACCAATTTTAGAGGATTCGACACACTCGACATTTTTGAAGAGTCTGAGCAACATGGCGGACTTGGAAGTTCCATATGTCATCCTCTGGTAAATGAAAGGATGATATAAAAAATATCTTTAAATCTTACTTTACTTTTACAAGTGTCTTGAAAACTAGAAATTAGTGGTGATGCTAAATCTAATAACTTTGACTGTACAAAACATACAGAAAAAAGGAGAAAAAGGAGCTTAGTAGACAACTTTTAGTTAACTTTTTTGGTATTTGATTCTCTAAACACTGAGAGAAATTGGTGGGGAGAAAGTGTTTGTTGTAATATGCTTATCAGTGTATTCCTAAGTGCTCAACATAATCAATGAATCTTTACAACAATGTTTATTTTGAATCTAATTTTTGTCAAAAATGTGGCTAACATCTTCACTTGGTTTAAGGGCTCTTATACCCATTTGAAATTCAAAAGATGATTTTCTTTTCCTCTAAAAGGAACATTAAAGTATGTATTTTTTTTTCCTAATACTATTAGAAAAGTTGTTTATAAAATTCTGGCCTTCCTTGTTCTCAAGGATTTGGTCTATTGGTATGGTCATAAAAGCCTGATGTGTGCATGTGGATGAGGTGCATGTCACGGATTCAAATCTTGATATTAAGCGGAGAAGGGTGAAGAGGTAGATTCATTATCCACCTAGTTTCCACCCATACGTAGTACCAAGTTGTTCCGGGATTTGGGTTTTCCTCACTATAAATAAATATGGCGGGGAAAACCCAAATTGATATGAATGGGAGATGCTGCTAAAACTAATTTTTCTCAGTAATGATAGGTACAAAGTCACTCGACTAAAATGAGAGTGAACAACCATAATCTTACACCCTAAAATTATACGGAGGAATGACTTGAAAGAGACAATAACCAAATTACAACCACAAATCACAATAAAAACAAAGTAATTTCACAAGTGGATTCGGAAAGAGTAGAATGTATGAAAAACAAAAAAAAATATTGAATCCAAATATTTAAAAATCGTACCAAACTGACCAATAAACAATTCTATAAGTCTCCTCCTAAGTATAAATAAAAGAAGTGCTCCTTAAACTTATTGCTATTGGAACCATTTATTTATTTAGCCTTAAAGTGAGTTAATATAATAACATAATCTAATGCATCAGCTATTCTTGAGTGCCACACAAGTGGGGTTTTTGCAATCAAAATTAATGATTATTTTTGGTATTTTCTTTTATTAGAGTGACCTCACTATAATATTTTATTTTATGATGAATCAGAATTTTCCCTCAATAAATAAAAAGATTTGCTATCATTAGTCTGTGATGATAAGAGATAGTAGTATATATTAAACAAAAAGTTATTATACACGAGAAATAAAGAGCATAAGTATTCAATATTAATAGAAAAGAAAATTCAATATGTAATACTTTTGATTTGTTACCAAAAATTATTTAGTGACGTTAAGGCAATAATGTAAAAATTTAGTGAGCATATATGAAATTAACCTCCTTAAAATATAAAGTTAGAAAATACTTGACTCAAATTAAGCAAAGTGACCCAGTATAAAGGGAATCATGTATGATAAAATAAATAATTATTGATGTACTTTAAGGACCATTAAACCACTATCTTTTTTCTGCCTTCATTGATTCTTATTCTAAATAAAATCATCATTAGCTTCATTAATTTACACATTAAACTAATAGCACTAGCAAATTTATTACTTCAACTTAGGCTTGAAGCTTTGTAATAGTTTTAATATGTAGCAGTCAAAAGACAAATTCATCCAACAAGGATACTCTATTTAATTTTTGCATAATGCTCAAAATAGCTCTTTATTAGTTCATCATGAAGAGTATTGTTTTTGTTTAATCATTTGGTATCCAAACTTTACTTGACTGACTAATTCGAATTAGCGCCATGTAGGGCCAGTCTAAAGGGGAAGCCTTTTTTACCTGAAGTTCCTCCATTCCTTGGGCTCGAACCAAGGACTTTGGTTAAATTTGGAGGAATCTCAAAATCCCATCCATCTCCCCGTAGTTCTTGTCTATGTTGCTGACATTGTCACACTCGTGTCAGATCCTTCAAAATGGATAGCTTTAGGAGGATTTGACACACATCTAACGACATTTTTGAAGAGTCCGAGCAACATAGGTTCTTGATGGTAGAATAATTCCTTAATTAATGATATGCAACTCTCTATTTGTCATTTGTAAATGATCACCTAGAGAAAATGACTCTTTGCATGAAGTAGTTCATTCAAGGTTTAAATTCCAGTAAAGACAAACAAGACTAGGTGATTTCTTTTGATTTTCTAAGGTTTCATAGTCAGAGTTATTCGATACGTGTACTAGTAGCAAGTAACGCGTACTCGGTGGAATAATGTACTAGAAAAACCTTCATTTGGCATTTATCACAAATTTTCTAACAGAGTTATGCTCTGGAAAGCCAAGTATTGCTAATCTACATAGAGGCTTATTACACAAAATTGTGAAAGAAAGAAGCAATCATATAATAAGATAACTTAAAAGTTATTTTCATTTCAATTCCTCCAGTAAAAGAAGAAACGATTACAAGAAAAAACCCTAGGTGATTTCCTCCCGTCTGTCCTAGCCTTGGTAGACAGAGTTGCCTGATGTCTGTTGCTGGTGGAAGGTAACAGGTATCTCGTGCAATTAGTCGAGGTGCATGTAAGCCACAATTATCATTAAAAAAAGGAAAAAATTATCCCCTGCAGAGTCCAGGTCTTTCTTGTTCTTCAGTGATCACTTTAGAAGCTGACAATGAACAAACTCCAATGTCAGTTATTGTCTTTCTTGCTTGCTGAGAGTTTTTGCAATGAGCAATTGCTGCTTGAATTGAGTTCTCTATATCTGAATATGAATTGTTGTTTCTCTTGAAGAAGTGCATTTCTTGAAATTCATTCGAATTATTTGAGCTTGAAGCTGACAAGGAGCCAGAAGTAGACGATGAAAATGAAGACGAAGATGATTTAGTTGTCGAAAATCTTTTAATAGCTCCTGAGAATGACCTTCTATGTCGACCTCTGATATCTTGATCGCGATCATTTTCTTTTTTGACCCCTTTTGAATTTGCACCACCTCTATGAATTTGCCCAAATGGTTCTTTCTTACCTTCTTTAGCTATTGGAAAAGGCCCTTTTTCGATGTTTCTTGAAGCAGCTGCAGAGTACTCGTTCGAGCAACCAGATTTGGAAAAGAAAGACTTGAGATAAGAGCGCGAAGACTTAAGTTTAGAACCAAACGTGGAATTCTTTATTTGCTTGAGTTTCTTAGACCATGACCTTTTTGTGTTCTCATCGTCTGCTGGAAATACGTTGTTTGCATCAGCTGAATACTCGAACATGTATTCTTCTGGATTGAGTTCCCTGCTAACTTGACAAGACTCAACGGGAGAGATATTACATGATTCAAACGGAGTGTTATTACTCGTAGGAGTATTAGTAGTGGTTGTGAACAAAGGAGTGCTAAAAGACTCATCAAAAACATCGTTTTTTCGAGTTCCATGAGCATGTTTAATAGGATTTTGAAGTAATTTCTCTACCATTTGTGTTGTACCAAAAGGGAGGTGAAGTGGGAGAAGTTTTCCATTATGGAATAGTTCATCAGCTGGTGAAGTTGTTGTGTCTTTATCAATAGAATTTGGAAACATTTGGAATTCAAATTCTCTAGCTTGAGAAGGGGAATTTGTGAATTGTGAAAATATGTTTGAATTTGAACTTACTTCCATGTCTATATAATCTTCTTCTTCAACTACATTGTCACACGAACGACGAATTTCCTCATATTCCATGGTATTTTTCACTTTGTGTTTGTGAGTTTTTTGAAGTTTTGGAAGTTTTGGAAGTGTAAGTTGAGTTTTTAAGAGCAAATGCAGGGGAAGAGGACCATTTTATAAAGAGGATGGTTGTGTAGCTTTTTATTTTTTAAAAAATGGCTTGTAAATAAAGTGATATTATGCATATTTTAAATGATCCCGAATATGAAATTTAGTACATAAAGGGGAAAATTGTTTATATTGTTATACATTTCTTAATTCTTATAATACTTCTTTTAGTCTATTTTCCACTTACCCCTTTATTTTTGGGTAATGCTAGTGCCCAGGTCAGCTTGAGGATACCTCGACTACTTCATCTGTTATTTTCCTCCTTTTATTTATCCTATTGGACTTATACTTTTTCATAGTTGATAGTGATTTATGTGTGTAGAAATAATGTCTACTGGTCACTTTTTGGCTTTGTCTTTCAAAAATAAACATTGTCATAAAATTTCAAATTCCATAGATGAAGTTCTGTGCCGATATCCCGGAGTTTCACTTGTGAATTTTGAAACTCTATAACAACGACTATTTTTCGATTACATGTGAATTTTGAAACTCTATGGCAGCGACTATTTTTCTATTACAAGGGTTGAAAAGTGGGTATTTGTGAATTTTACCCCCTAGGTGCAAGCACATAACTTGAGCTAGATATATAGTTTGAATAATTTTAAAGAATATATACTTATAGCAAGTTCACACTCATTGTCTTAAAAGAGTAGTTAGGTAGTGATAGTACTCAAGATCTGTTGATTTAAAGTTCTAAATTCAATGAATGTCTTTCTATTTCTCTAATTGTTAAGAAAAAAAATCTCAATGAATCATTTGATAGTCATGGAGATTTATTATCAAATTACTACCGAATAATGATTTCTCATTTTTGTGTTATGTGTACCCCACCAAACTCATTGCTTATATCATTTTGGACATTAATTCATGTACTTCATGAACATGTCTTCAAATTTGATAATTTTCCTAATAAAACAAAGGTAGGTAAGTCATATTAGAGATATATTTTTCTTACTTTGCTCTAATGTCTAGTTGTCAAATTAACTTGGATCATATTAGTCCATCATTAAATCATTAACATCGCCAGCTTTTTATAATCGAGAAATCCGTTTGGTGTCAATCCTAAATTTTCTGTTGCTCTTGTTGTTATTGGTCTCACCTATCAATACACCACCTCAACAGCTAAAACTCTCTAACCTTTTCTATCTATCTTTAACCAACTACAACTCTACTATCCTTCTCTACTTAAATACCACGTTTAGCTCACATGACGTAAGTACGTCATAAGTCCCTCAACATTTGTCACTTGAACTAAACCACAATGCACTAATTAATCAATGGTAAGAGTTGTCGTTATATAACTAAGAGATCACTCAGGCCGTAAAAACAAAGTAGAATTGTTTCATGTATAGCGGAAACTTTGTGCACCAAGCTATATACAAACTTAATGAACTTTGACATTTAACCCCATTTCATTTCTCAAAAAAAATATAAAAATTTAACACAATTTTCATCATTTTTTCCCTGTAAACGAGAATGTGGGATTTTGTGTGCATGTCACTTTAGCTAAAACAGTTATTTACTTTAGAGAAAGCTCAATAAAAATAGATATAATAATACTTGGAGCTCACGAACCACTTTGCTTTGCCTAGTTTCCTGCTTTTTTATTTACTGGATTCCAGGAGCTTTATTTTTAACTTTATCTTACTGTCTTTATCAAGAAAATTTTAAAAAATGTCACTTCACCATAGTATATATATATGCTCTTTCACCTAAATTTGTTCACTTGTCTGTGTCTTTTCAATATAGATAATAATTAATGCACAAAAATCAAGAAAGAACATTATAAAAAACAAGAGTTTATGGTCACAAACACATCTGAACTCGTCTTTTTCAATATCAGTTGTTCTCTTTTCTTATCAGGACTATCACCGATTGTTCTATTTTCCTACTTGAACTATCATCATTTATGTATTAAAATACACTTAGTTGCGTAGATGATGATAGTTCAAAAAAAGAAGAAGATTGAAATGATAGTTGGATTAATTAGCTTCTCGAGATGTGTTTTAATACATAGATGTGTTTTCATCTTTAATTATCAATTGTTTCATTTTCCTACTTAAACTATCACGATTGATCTATGTGCTAAAACACACCTAGTTGCGTAGATGATGATAGTTTATCTAAAAAAAAGAAAAAACTGATAGTTGGCCTAATCAAATCCAAGATGTGTTTTAATACATAAATGGTATTCCCCCCATCTGACACTTTTCGAATTTCGAAATTCAAACAAGTTTATTTTTTTTTCATAGATGTTTTAAACATTTTGAATTATCAATTATTATTACTTATAACACTTTTTACGTAGTTTACAAATATATAAATTTCATTTCAAAAAATTGAAGATTCCATACGTAAACTCCCGATCAAACTTAAACTGTTCAACTCTCGAAAAATGAAAAGTGTCACATAAATTGGGACAGAGGGAGTAATATAGTAATTATCTGCGTCTTTTTTTCAATATAGATATTAATTTATGTACAAAATCATGAAAATAATATTAAAAAAGAATTAAACAATGAATAATTAGATTGTTGACATTGAACTACTAATAAACAAAACAAAGAAACAAGAAAACACACGATCCGACAGTTTATGGTGGAGGAAAGAAAGGTTGGAACTCGAGAGACTCTTTCTTTAGTTCTTTTCAAGTTGAAACTTCCCCACTCTCATTATAAAATTTTGTATATATATATATAATTATAATATACTTGTACAATGTTTGGTATATGATATCTATGTAATTAATAAAATAATATGTTGAGTTAAGCTGGTTATATTACTCTGATAGTTTCTTGCCCTTTGATTTTTATTATTTTTTATATTTTAATTATTGTATTATTTTTTTGTAGTTACGTTATTACTCCTTCTTTCAGACTGCTTTATCATGTTTTCTATAGTATTTTGTCATGACTTCTTTTCACTTTCGTCATTTTTTTTCTGAACAACTCTGTATTGTTTTTCCTTGAAATGGGGTCTATCGGAAATAGCATCTCTGCTTTTCAAGGTAGGGTAAGGTTTGCGTACACTTTACCCTCTTCAGACACATTTCTTTCATAAGGCCTCATAATTAAGAGTATCGATACAACGTGTATGATACTTTACAATCTTCTTAGCTATCAATGAGAGACTTTATTCATACACCAAATTATAACAATCTTTCCATCAAACCTAGTTTCATGTGACATACATTACCATATTCCATGGGTTAATTTTCGAGATTCATTGTATACCATCGATGTGACCAAACATTTATAACCATTAGAGCTCAAAGCTAGCTTATTCTCATACGTGTGTGTCTTCAAACTACCTTCAACACGGTAAATGTCGTAAATAAAGCTCCACACCATCTCTCTGTCATCTACATATTCATTTAGTCAAATTATTGGCTCTAACATCAGTTGTTGGGCTACGTTAGTAAAAATGAACTCTTATAACATAATGCAATATTGTCCGCTTTAGGTCAAATTGCAGGGTTTTTTTTTCTTCAGAAAGTGTCACACCACTAAGAATATATCCACACATCGCATGCATATTTTCAATTTTTCCACTAGTAATATGAGACTTTTTTCGTACATACGTCCAAATAGAATGCCATATTTTGATCTAACTTAACTTATACATAAAACTATATATTATTTTTATGGGATAGAATGTGAGATAAGAATTTATATTTTAATGATATCATAAATAGTATCTATACATAGAATCATTGCTCTCAAATTGCACATAAGTTGCCTCTGAGAACACCAAGGGGCACAACTTTTTTTTTCTCCATTCCAAGATAGACAGAAAAGGAAGTGAAAGAGCAATTACAGGCACAATTTGGATAAATATATGACCCACCAATAACAGAAATTCTGGATGTTGTTGTTCCAATTTTTCATGTCAAAAATAACAAAAAAATATTTAGAGACTTTTTTCATAGTTGAAACAGTGAGGGCCTTCATTGTTGGATATCTTTTCTTCACTAGGAGCAAAGTTGATAGACATCTTCTTAGGCTTAACAACCTCAAAATATGCACATTTAGCTAGTCATTTTCACCAAAAAAAAGTTGCACCGTATATAAAGACGGGTTCAGAATTTAAAATTTATGGGTTATTAAAACGATCTGGAGTTAATATTATACAATAATAATTGAGTTTATAGTTGATTACTTATAGATATTTAGTGTAATTTGGTATTGTATATATGTATACAGAGTATATATGAGCAAAAGCTAATGAGTTCTCGTAAAGTTTATGCATTCTTGCAACGATCTCAAGTTAATATACTAATAATAATTGAGTTTAAAGTTAAATATTAAAAAAATTTCTTATTATACACTAAGTTAATAGATGTGTTTGCATATTGCCTTTTATCACTTAACTAAGGTTTATTAACGTGCCTTCCCACCTTATTAAATCAATTAATGATAATAATTTAATTTATTCGATTTCGATTTGACGTAAATACCTGTTATATATATGACCCACCAATAGCATAAATTCTGGATAATGGTTTCAATTTTTCATGTGAAAAATATTTAGAGACATTTCATAGTTGAAAACAGAGAGGGCCTTCACTGTTGGATAGCTTCCTTCACCAATAGCAGAATTTAAAGTTTTTTATGAATTTTTAAAGGCGATCTCAAGATGATATACAATAATAATTGAGCTTATAAATCACATATTTATAGATATTCAGTAAATATTCTATTTTGTATATTACTATGAGGAAAAATTATTGATTTCTCGTGAACATGTAGGTTGTACTCTAGATTTTTCATTGCAAGATGCTAAGGGCGGATCTAAATCATATAATGTATGTGTCCATGGGAATTCAGTAGCTTTTTCATAAAGACTCTATAATTAATTTTTTTATTAAATATTTAAATATAAACTCAATAATTATTATATATTAGCCTGAAATTGTTGCACTAGGTATTGATCAATCTTTGCTTAATTATATCAAATA